TACATCTCTTTAGATGTCAGAGGCATCTAATGCCTGTGAATCAGTCCTCTCCCACTTGGTTCTCCAGCTGATGTGATGTCTGTAACGGCAAGCATCTCTATTTCATTCCAGTACTAAATGACTCCACTTGGTCAGTTTATCAGTGAAACTTCTGGAGAGAATGTCTCTCCTATTTCAAGTTCATTTGACCCCATAATGGTCATTTTAGGAGCGGGCAGATGTACTAGGAATTTGGCTCCACTTCAGATGGTCTGAGGACCAGCAGCTCTATCACCTTTAGACCTGCTATGTATGGAGAATCTCAGGGCCTGATCCAGACCTTTTAAGTCAAAATCTGCATTTTAACGAGACCTGGGGTGATTTGCATGCATATTACAGTTTGGGAACCACTGGTTAAAAGAGTCGTAAGTTCTACTAGAAATCATAATAAGGCAACTTCCCCATACTGATTTTTGGCAACAAATCAAGATTATTTTAATGCAATTTACTCAAAAAGTTTTTGATGACTTTCTCTTTTTTGTAATATAAAGTTAGTCTATAATATATGTTAATTCATTTGAAGATGTTTTAATGATTTTCATAGCCATGATATACAACTTCCAGTGGTTATGTAAACTCAAAATTTTAAGCATTTACTTGCACATAAATTATAATTAGTTTTGAGCATTGTTGATAGAAAAACTGAAATCTGCAGATAATTCTTAATTTAGCATCCTTCTTAAAAGCTTTTCCATCCTTCACCAAAAATTTGGATATATATTAGAGATTGTTAATAACGAAAGTAAATATTATATTATGTTGCAAAATTAGCTAGTGAATGTGAACTTTTAGATTATTTCTGTAAGCCATATATATATATAATGCTTTATGCTTTATTCTATATTTTTTTAAATGCTGATTTTTCACTCATTCAAAACTTCACTAGGCGGCTGGCCCAGCGCTGCAGTAGTTAAGTTCACGTACTCCACTTCAGCAGCCCAGGGTTCGCCGGTTTGGATCCCGGGCGCAGACCTATGCACCACTATTGAAGTCATGCTGTGGCAGGCATCCCACATATAAAATAGAGGAAGATGGGCACAGATGTTTGCTCAGGACCAGTCTTCCTCGGCAAAAAGAGGAGGATTGGTGGCATATCTTAGCTCAGGGCTAATCTTCCTCAAAAAAAAAAAAAAAAGAGAGAGCTAGGAATGTTCAAGGCATGGGAGATCCAGCAGTGACCACTAGAGACAAAATCTTTCCCACCCTACAGGAGGGCAGATAGGCAATTGATAAAAATAAAGAAGTCAAACGTATTGTGTATTAGATGGTATAAGTGCTGTGGAGACAATGAAACAGGGGGTGGTATAGGGATTGCTGGGGAAGGAAGTTTTTAAACAAGTTGTCCAGAAACGCCCCATGGGCCAGGTTTCATTTAATCAAAGATCCCCAAGGAGATGAGGAGCCCAGTCTTAAGGATATCCAGGCAGGGGAACAGCAAGTGAGGTGGTCTGAGTCAGGAGTGTGCCTGGTATGTTCCAGGACCAGCAAGGAGGACAACATGGTGGAGTGAGCAAGAGCTGGAGTAGGAGATGAGATCCAAGAGATGATGGGGTGACAAGAAGATCAGGTAGAGCCTGATAGGCCATTACAAGGACATTTCACTTGGAGTGAGATGGAAAGATATTGGAGTGATGTGACCTACCTTATGTTTGAAAAGCATCAGCTTGTCAGCAGACTGAGGGCATGTGTACCTCCAGCTACAGGGGCAAAGATGAGAAGGGAAGGGAGTATACTTTGTCTATCCTCTCTCTCCAATAATACGTGACCCCCACCCCTTCCCGGCCATAGATGCACTTCTCATCATCATTATATTCATTTCTTCTTATCAATATGCACAGAGTTATAGATCTGGAGTGAACTTAGAGTCCAGATAATACAATCACTTCATTTTAGAAATTAGCAAACTGAGGCCTGAAAAATTATGTGATTTGTTCAAGGTCACAAACCGAGTATATGGCCCAGGCATTACTGGAAGTTTTGTGACTTCTCTTCTCACGTAGGGGCTTAGTGTAGAATAGTTGAAAGGAAGGGGCTCTGGTGCCAGACAACCCAGGTCTTAGCTGGGTCATGGAATAGCTCTACTGCCTTGGGGACATTAACAAACCAGAAATAAGAGTGCCTACCCATAGGATTGTTGTGGTGATAAACTCCATGTAAAGGAAACCAGTAGAGTGCTTGGGAGGTCGCTGGCACTCAAAATAGGAGAGCTTTCACTCTCTTTTCCCACGATCACAGCATCATCATGTGAAAGCTACTAGAGGTTAGAGTCTGTATCATTTCAATATGCTGTTTAGCCCACCACACAGTACAATGCTCATGATGGTACTGATGTTATCAGACAACTCTAATAAAGACTGAAAGAGAAAAATAATAAATTCACAGATTTCGCTATTTTGCCCACAATCTGTTTTATCTTTATAAGAGGAGGGTATTGAGAAAAGACAGACACTAAAAAGCAACTGACTTTATTTGTTAGTTTATACTCATAGAAGAGATGAATTATGAATTAAAATAATTATAATTATGGTAGCTACCATTGAGTTAACACCTACTATAGGTCAAATGCTGTGCCAGGTACTTCATACACATGTTAAATCTTTTATGCTCCCAATAAAAGCTTATCATTAGGTACAAAATATGCTCATTTGACAGATAGAAAAACTGAGACTCACAGAGATGAAGTCACCCGTGATATATGTTTACAACAATAGTACATGGTAAAGATGGGAACGGAGAATGGTTATGTCATCCACAGGAAGCTTCTTCTCAAAGGGTTCACACTGAGCTTTATCAAGCATACATACAAAGTATGTATGCAAAGAATGCATGTATGTAAGTAATAGTTTCCATTTATTGAATGCCCATGTGTGCCAGGCACTGTATTTCTCAGTTTATTTACTACCTTATTTAATCCTCACAGCAGGTATTATTTCCCTATTTTATAATCAAGGAAACAGGCTCAGAGAGGGATTAACTTGCCCTGAGTCACACTGCTCCATGAGGCAAAACCAGGATTTGAATTCAGGCTGTCTGACACCAATGCCTGGATTTGGTCTACCTGGGCTGGATCTCACTTGACCATCTTACCAACTAACTATTCTGTCTATTATGGCAGCCACAGGGGTACCTGGAGGACAATTATGTCTTCTTGGATATTATGTTCAAATGTTGGTTTTATCCCAATTTTCTCAGTAGCCATTAAGGCTCAGTCGTTAATGATGAAAATGCCTTTAGCAACATTCCAGAGAACGTTCTTAACCGTTTTACAGTGCTGGTAATTTAACAAACTTAAAAGCAAAGAACATAGGTCAGATATGCTTCAATCAGCGCTTCTCCTTTATATTTTCATTATGGAGAGTTTTAATCCTTATTTGAACAGGATACATTACCAGACCCAGTTTAGGAATTTCCCCAGATTGGATCAGTCCCATCAGAGTCCCAGTCCCCAGTCCATGGCTGCTTGCTCTAATAGACAGCCCAAGCTGCCACCTTTGACCCTTAGCCCCACAGCATCAGCATCACAGCCTCTGCTACTGTGGTGGCAGCCAGAGTGGTTCTTGGAACCGGATACAACCTCAATGGACCTATGAAAGCTATAAGTCTTCTGACATTTCCAAGCTCAAATGATGCATCATACTGTGGTGTGTAGAATCTGTTTTCTTGGTAATTATCTGGAGAGGCAAGTGACAAAGTCCGGAAGTATTAATGCCCCATGGAGTGAACTTTGACCAATGAGAGAGGGAAGACAAGAAAGAAAGGGCAAGTAAATTCCTCTCCCTCTTCCCTCTAAGACAGGAGTTGTCAAACTACGGCCAAAGGGCCAACCTAGCCTGCCTCCTATTTTTGTAAATAAAGTTTTATTGGAACATAGCCATGCCCATTCATTTACTTATTGTCTATGACAACCTTCGTGCCACAACAACAGAGTTGAGTAAATGTGACAGATACCATGTGCCCTACAAAGTCTAAAGTATTTACTATTTGGCTTTTACAGAAAAAAGTCTGCAGACCCCTGCCCTAAAGGTTTACTCTGAGGCAGGGCCTGTTTGGAAAACACTGTACAGAAGAAAGCTATGGCCAGCTTGATTATATATCTCTTTGTGTATGCATTCCTTCCTCCTTGCCTCATTTGTCCTTTTTTTTGGCTTCAGACTTGCTGCTCTGAGATTGCACCTGTCAATAAAGTCTGAGCACGTAAGCTTCGTCACAGACTCTGTTTGCTAGAGAACCAGAGATTAAGAGAGCTACAGATCTAAGATCCAGATTCATGAATTTTGTTCTTCCCAGATGTGTTGGTTTTCTGATAAATTTCATTAATCTATTAAAAAAATATATAATCACTTTCTAGTTCTTCCATGTTAATTTGAACTAGTTTTATAAAGCCATTTATACATGTAAAATCTTTGCTGAGAATGTATTGAAGATTCAGACCAATTTTACTTATATTGTATATCTTTGAGAGTGGTTTTGCAATCCAGGATTCCTCTTGACTATAGTAGCATTTCACTTGGTAGCACACAACGGGCAGTCACTAGTGTTTTCCAAGGTCATATTTAATTAACTGTATGAATAGCAACCTGCATCTATCTTGGTTCGATGTCATCTCTCCTCCTTTGTATTTGATTCCCCAATAACTAAGTCTACCCACTACTCTAAGTTTCTCTGATTTTATCTGCATATTTTCTCTTATCAATTTCTAAAGATTTAATTTACAAGTTCTATGAAACTACCAAGAAAGCACTTATTTTCAGCCTAAAGAAAAACATTAGATACTGAGACTGATAAGAAATGGAGGACACATTATAGAAAGCTGATGGATGGCCAAGGAGCCTTCAAAAATTCATGTTTTAACTTTCATTGTCTTTGCCCACACCCTGCTTACTAAGAAGCTTCCCTTGAAGAAGGAATAGTTCAAACAGGAACACCAATTTGAATTTGATCAGGGTTGTCAGTCTACTTACAACCAAAGGTGAAAGAGATCAATGCTGTAGGTAAACCAGCGATTTAGCTTAGATCTTCTCTCATCCCGTCTCTGTATCTCTAGTTAAGATGATCTGGATGAGATCTGGTCAGAGAATGAGTGACTAACCCCATCAGGGATCGTTTGCTGAGTCAACCTTGAAAAATTCCAATGTTGTCTGGGACTTCTCAACCACGTGCAATCTTGAGAGATTTTTGTGGAACAACATTGTGGAAAAGGAATTGCCTTGGTTCCTTCTTCAAGTTCTCCTCCAGGCTCTTAAGCCAAAATGAATTATCTGCCATCCAACAATTGGGAGAACAACTTAACGGTTCTTTATCAGTTTGACGATTTTAGCTGTAGATGAGACAAAAGAAATCATGATCAGACTTTAGATATAAAGATTGAAATGGAATGGTGGCAATTACACAGAAATCAGAGACTGTGCTTCACTTTACAGTGACTGCATTCTTCCCACCATTCTCATCTTCTGCCTTTCGTGCTTGGGAAAAATCATTTGCAAGTTTGGAAAGTGAAACAAAAATCTAAACTTCACTAAAATGTTAGGATGCTTTGATTTAGCCAGAGAACTTTCCCTTTCAGTTGAATCCTGTTTAAATATCCATAGCAACTCTACATTTAAAAATAGAAACTAATTCACAGATCGCTGTGTTAGCTTGCATTTGGGTACCAGCTTTGAAGAAGCCGTAAACATTCTAATTAATAAATTAAAACATTCCTTGGGTGTTACTATAGATGCTATACCTTTGCTTCAGTTACAAAAGCAAACTAACAATAATTATTTAGAACATTAGAAAAAGTCTGTAAATATGGAATGCATTTGGAACCAAATGTAAGCCCTTAAAATTTGGTTAACTTCCCTCTATGTGATTAAAATCCAATGAAGATCAAATAAGATTTGGCAAAAAAAAGAAAATATATATATATAAAATTAGCTTTCCTCGTGTTTATGCACAGTCCAGAGAAACAAAAAGCCATAGAAATCAAGAAAGAAAAATCAAAGTGCCTATTTTAATTTTTCTATTGCAATAATACCTCCATAGTTTAGGCTTTAGACTCATCTTTAGAGGAGCATTCTAGGCAGGACCTAAATATCCAGATTATTACAGCCTAAATATTCTTACAGTTTCCAAATAGTATCATTTTTATCCAGATATCTGAATAAATATTAATATAGTCACAGCTTATCTTCCTCAAGCTAAAACGAAACAAAACAAAAACAAACATAAAACTCTAGTTAACAATTCCTCCTGAACTTCCTTTTAAATCCACTTATTTACATGACACTCAACTCTTTCCAGTGTATCCAAATCTGTTGTAAATTTTAGAAATAGTGCTATTATTAAAATTAGTATTAAATATCAGGGAAAATTTTATCATCCCAATTAAGAACTTATTGCTATTTATTAAATTTCCCAAAGCAACCGAATGGCAATAGCTACAGATATTTGTGCAATTAGTAACAACACTTTATACAAAATCTTAAAAGATGTATTGTTTTACCTATAACACTGACTTCTTTTATCTGTGAAAAACAAATGTCCATAGTAGGGAGCCACAGCAATATCTAATATTTTACAATGCTTTATTTCTAACCGTGAAAGATTTTCAAGGGATAAGAGTCCCAGAATCTCAGAGATCTGGCCCCATGCTATTGTTTTACCCTGTGCACGAAGATAAACTATGTCCTGTCAATATAAACCATTACTGAGGCTCAAGTCCTTCACTCCTTAGACTCTATTTCAGTAGGCCACGACTACTAAGGTGCCACTGCTAGGGCCGTAGATTCTATTTCCTGATGGGGCGTGGCAATGGAACTGTGTTCACTACTCAACAACACTACGATATTGTGTTTCAACCTGCAAAGAAACTCTACTACTATGAAGACTAGAAGAGCCAAGCATGGTTGGCATATTTGACTAACCATCTCTTTGGCTTGCTGGTCCATGAGCAGTATGAATTGACTGCTTTGCTGCTCGTTTTTCTCTGAGCTTTCTCACTGAGCAATCCAAGCGGTATCAACTCTGAACTCTTAGCCCAGACACCTGAAATTTGAGGGAACCTCCCAGTGGTTGTTTATCTCAGAGTTTCTCAAATTTCGTGTAGAGAGAAGCTATTTTGAAATCTCTAAAGAAATTTGAAGGGCGAGAAAGACCCCGATGAGGAGGAGATATTCATGCTCTCCCTCTTTTTAATTGAAATGCTTCTTTCCTTTGCAGCCACATTAAACATCCATCTATCTCCAAAGCCTTAAGGAGCTTTATTGCGTACAGGTGTATTGGGTTAGACAACATGGTAAGCTCTTAGCATCCACAGATTTTAACATCCATAATTTCACCAATAGTGAATAACCTTGAAGAATTTGAGTTGGACGTGTTGCAGGCTAGAGGCTTATTGACCTCATCAACTTCAACTAAGATCTGTTATTCTCTACCTTTCACATAAACACTAAAAATCATGAGGTGATATAAATTTTGTGTCCCTGTGAAAAAAAATAGTCCTCAACAAGAGGGAATCACTACTGCTAGAGGTGGAAATGAAAGAGAATGTGAAACAATCTAAGAAAGTTATGGATCTTAGAATATAAAAAGTTTCATGGGGAAAATAATTGGTTATTGTGATATTCACAAATTTGAATATTTACAAAGCCTTGAGATGGTTCTCTCTTGAATTTAAGAGTCTATTCTAAATCTGGGATTTTTAAGTAATCATAATATTGTACCACAAGCAAACTATTTATGGGACTGAAAATGTAAGAAACCAAGCATAACCAATTCAGTCAACAAGTCAGAAAAAGAAGAAGTCACAAAAATAAATGTTTTATGAAGAAACCACATAGAGACGGAATATCAACTCAGTCTCCACTCAGCATTGGCTCAATTTTCGGACACCACAAGATTTTGGAATCTTGTGTGTTAATACAGGTGAAGAGAATAGATGTTGGGTGTATTCCATCAAAAATGTCTCTTGTACATTTTGACATACTTTAAACCACATATATAGGGCTCAAAACCATTTATAAGTGAGAGGAAAAGCCAATATAAAATCATCTTACAATCTGACTGGTTTATTTTCTTTGGCTCGAGTGTGTGCTGAGTGCCTTATCTTTTTTATGTACTGCCAAAAGAGCAACTGTCTTTAGTTATAGTATGTATATGATAATATCAATGGTAAGTCTCTGTCCTGAAAATTTCTGCAGACAATCATAACAGAAGACCAAGAGTGGAGAAATTCTTTGGAGAACTGAGAACATTTCATTGCTCTCTGGAGTGCAGCCATAGCTGGCCAATATAAACTTTTTTTGTGAAGCGGCACCCATCTGGCTTTTATAGACAGGCACTAAACTCCCTGTAAGCAGTGTCATCCATCTGGCTTTTATGAATGTATGATGTACTGGGTTCAACTCAAATGATAACATCTGTCTCCATAGATAAACCAAAGCCAGTCTATAAAGATATATCTACGTATCTGTATGAATTACATAATAGGATGACATGGCTGGTAAAGGTAATTGGTGGCACTGTTACTTTATCTCCCCCATCACCACTACCATTTATACTTATTTCAGTGTCTTCCCTTAGCTTTCACAAATGCTTCAGAAAATACATAATATTTAATGACTGTTTATGTGTAGGTGAGTGTGTGTGTGTTGTGTGTAAAGTAAACCTTTATGATTTTTTCACCTGTTCAATGATGGCTCAATTGTTTCTAGCTTTAAAAAAAAAAACTCTGAAATGAGAGGAGGTTAACTTTGCAAAGTCTATGTTAATTTTCAGCAATCTTTCTGGAAATACATGATGTCGAAGAACCTGCCTGGCATGCGATAGTGAGGTTCCCTTCATCAACTTGTATACTATACACAGGGTCAAGAATCTAAATCTTTTCAATTTATATGCCTGAACACTTGAACAATTTATCAAGGAAGATGCTCATTTCCAGAGCAAGAAGCAATTAGTTATATTAAACATTCAAGATATTGAATGAAACAGAACACTTTAGAAATTATAAAGTAAACACACAAGAATGAATTCTTATCACTCTAATAGTTTAACTGCAGGACATCAGGGCTTTCACTGGATGTAATATGCATTGTTTGCTTTAGTAACTAAACCAAAGGTTTTGCACTTACAGAGCAACTGCAGTGTTACGTAAGATTAACTGTTTATTAGGGCACTGCGTTGGATTCTTGCGTAACCCTCTTGAGTCAGTGTTAAAATAGACTCTATTGGATAGCCTAGAGTTTTCCCACACGGAAACACACTGATCCCAAGATGATTTAAAAAAAGCATTAGTAACAACAAGCAGAAAATGCTGTCTGATGGACAACAATCCAATGCACCCTTGAGTCACTGCTCTAGACCTCGAACCAATGAGAGTTGCTCTGGAGGTACTGATGTGAATGGTATATTGCACTCTCTAGTTTTCTTCTCCAGAATAGAAAGAAAACCAAGATGTGTGTTGCTCACCAAATTCTGCTCTTGATTTAAGGAGACACATACAATTACTTCTCAATACTTTCTAGAATCACTTATTTATCTCCACCTAGCTATTTATTTTAGTAAAAGGAGAGCCCCTATCTAGGCAATGCTACACTATTATACTCTGTGAGCTTTCTCAGAAAGGTTTCTTGTAACTAAAATGATAAAGCAGAAAGATTTACTTCCTAAAGTTATTCCTTTGATTACCACTCAGTCAGGGGTAGGGCCGACTATATCTAACGTATAGAGAACAGCAGAAGGAAGAAGTGTACTGCCTTTTCTCCTGAAAAGTCATCACCTAGGAGAGTCGTTGTCATTGGTTTCATATCTGGTTAGCGAAACCATTGCTTTACCCCATCACCCTGGTATCCTGTAAAACCACTGGTGAGGTAGGCAGAGAATCATTCCCAAAATACATTAAATATCTCTAAACTACTCTAACGGTCTATTAATTCACTTCCAGGAGGCAATAATACATGTCATACAAATTAAATACATACACAAGCACGAACTCACACATACATACACACATGAGCCATAATTAATTATATTTTAAATACAAAATTCTTATTCTGTACAAGGGAAATGTTTTCCAAATTCAGGCCAAAGAATTAAAAAGGAGGATGATATAGTCTACTGCTTTCAGAGGCAAAAAATGGGGTTTCTCTTTTCAATCAACCCACAAATTTCTCTGTGATTTTTGGAAAATGAAATAAAATTTCCATAGACTCTAATTATCTGTAAAATCACAATATTGCAGATAAGCATGATACAATTTGTGTGTGTGGGGGGGGGGAGGGGTGTGTGAGTGGAGGATTAGCCCTGAGCTAACATCCGTTGCAAGTCTTCCCCTTTTTT